GGACAGTTTGTGGAACAGGATCTCACTTCTGCCCTGGCTGGCCTCGAATTCACAGGGATCTGCCACAGAAGGACCTCTGTGGAGCCCCAGCCCAGGTCCTCAGACTCTGTCTCAAAAACCCAATTTTAAAAAAAGATATTATGAACTAAGTGGAGCCCAGTGAACCATCTTCGTTCTGTCATAGCATTTATTCCAAATTGTTACCACCTTCAAGAAGTGTCTCCTGCGTTCTTCTCAGCAAATCAGCTCACCTCCTCTATTTCAGGGTGAAGCTGTAAACACTGGCTGCACGGCCATGCTCCCATCCCTCGGCCTCTGGGTCCCACCCAATGCCGCTAGTGTAGCGTTGTGTCCATCCTCAACTTTTGCCAGGGATCTACAACTATTTCAGGGCCTCATACAGAGTCAGGTGACTGACTCCTCTTGGTGCTGGGTACTGAGTATGGATTCGCATGTTCATGTTTGTGTGTACATGTTTGCGTTCCTGTGTATGTTTTTGCATGTGTGTGTATGCGTTTCCTGTGTACATGTTCCTGGGTGTATGTTCCTGTGTGTGTTTTCTTTGTGTGCGTGAGTGAGTATGTATGTGTGTGTGTGTGTGTGTGTTGGAGGAGGGAACAACCTGGCAAACAAAGGCATGTTGAAGCTACACAAGCTTCCAGTAGTGGCTAGACAGAAATGTGGCCAGTACAGGAAATTAGTGTTTGAAGCAAGCTTTGTGGGCTACTGGAAGGATTTTTTTTTCCTATGCCAGCATGCTAGGTAAGAGTTCAGTCTCTGATCCATGCCCACCATCTAATCTTTTGTTTGTTTGGTTGGTTGGTTTGATTTTTCAAGACAGGGTTTCTCTGTCCTGGCTGTCCTGAATTGGCTAGCCTCCAGCTCACAGAGATCCGCTTGCCTCTGTCTCCCTTAGCACCGGGGTTACAGGTGTGTGCTCCACGCCCAGCTCCCCTCAGGGCTGGGGCTCATGTGTGTGACTCCAGCCCTCAGGAGGTGAAGGCTGAAGGCCTGTCACAGTGTGAGGACAGATCGGTCTGCGGAGTGCGTTTCAGGACACCCTGGGGTATAGAGTAGGAGCCTGTCTCTCAAAACCAACCAAACACATAACCAACAAAAAAGCCTGGTAGAGCAGCAAATCCTGCACTCAGCACTTGGAGGTGAAGGCAGAGGATCAGGAGTTCAAGGTCATCCTCAGGTACAGAGCCAGTCCCAGGCCAGCCTGGTCTGAGATAAAAACAAAAACAAAATACAAAGGCTAAATTCCAACTCTGGAAGGGTTTCAGACAGGGAGTTGACATAATGAGAAGTACATTTTGAGGTGCGGGATGGCTCATCCATTCAAGCAACTTGCCACCAAACTTGACAACCTGAGTCTGACACCCGGAACCCACGTGGTAGAAAGAAAGAACCCATTCTCACAAGTTGTCCTCCTCCTCTGACCTTAGCACCAGACACACATACACACACAAATACATTCTGAAATGATTACTGTTTATTAAAGCATAACTACCTATGTGTTTGGTGCTTTGCTCTCTGTGCTTTCCAGCAGGCTAAAAAAAAGTACAAGATTTCTAGGCCCACCCAAGCACAGATGTGGCGGAACAATGCACAGATATGTTGGCATACAAAACTCCTAGATGTTTTAAAGAACAGCTACTTATATGACCACTTCCTTAGAAAACTACAAATGGAAACTAGTTTTACTTACTAAAGCCATCTTTTCTATTTAAATATTCCATCTTATACAGGTCTATAAAAATAACCTAGGAAAGCCAGGTGTGGTGGTGCACACCTGTGATCCCAGCACTCAGGAAGACAGAGGCAGGCGGATCTCTGGGAGTTCAAGGACAGTCTGGTCTACAGAGCGAGTACAGGACAGCCAAGGGTACACAAAGAAACCCTGTCTCGAAAAACTAAAACTAACTAACTAAATGACCTAAGAAGTACGGTTTCTTCAGAATGCTTTTTTTTTATTTTTATTTTTTATTGTGGTTTACCTATTGTCTTAGGATTTTTATTGCTGTGCAAAGCACCATGACTAACACCAAGTTGGGAAGGTTTACTTTGCATACTTCTAAGTAGTAGTCCATCACTGAAGGAAGTCAGGATAGGAACTCAAGCAGGGCAGGAACCTGGAGGCAGGAGCTGATGCAGAGGCCATGGAGGATACTGCTTATTGGCTTGCTCAGCCTGCTTTCTTACAGAAACTAGGACCGCTAGGCCAGATGGAACCACTAGTGGGCTGGGTCCTCCCCATCAATCACTAATTAAGAAAATGCCCTACAGTCAGATCTTACAGAGAGGCATTTCCTCAATTGAGGTTCCCACTTCTTAAATGACTCTAGCCTGTGTCAAGGTGAAATCAGACCACCAAGCATAACACACCCATTGTCAGCCTGACACACAAAACACATCACTATTAAGTCGTAACCTTTCCTTTCTTGTTCATTCTCAAGATCACATATTAATATCAACATCACAATATAAAACACTCTAAAATTTAAAAGTCCCACAGACTTTAAAAAGTCAAACAGTAAAGCTGGAGAGAAGGCTCAGTGGTTAAGAACACTGGATAATCTTTCAGAGGACCTGGGCTCAATTCCCACCACCTACATGGCAGCTCACAACTGTCTGTAACTCAGTTCAAGGGGATCTGGTCCCATCATGCAGACATACACAATGCACACAAAAATAAATCTTAAAAAAAAAAAATTCAAACAAGCCAGGCGTTGGAACACGCCTTTAATCCCAGCACTTGGGAGGCAAAGGCAGGTGGGCTCTCTGTGAGTATGAGGCTGCCCTGGTCTACAAAGCAAGTCCAGGACAGCTTGGGCTACACAGAGAAACCCTGTCTTGAAAAAAAAAAAATTAAACAGTAAAAGTCCAAAGTGTCTTTTAAATATCAAAATTGCTCAACTGTGTGCTCCAATAAAATAAAATAAAATAAAAAAGTTGCTTTCTTACCTCAAGAGAAAAGAACCAGTACACAGTCAGCATTTGAACAAAGTAAACATAAATCCCAACAGTGTAAATAATCCGGTGTCCAGTGCCTGGGATCCTCTCAGGATCTGGGCTCCGCTAAAGGCCTGGGTCACCTCTCCAGCTCTCCCCTCTGCAGCACCCACTCCACAGCTGCTGCTGTTCTTGGCGGCTCACACCTATCTGTGCCTCTAGTTCCAGGGCTCCGATTCTCTCACACAGACAGGCATGCAGCCAAAACACCATTGCAAGAAAAAGAGAAACAAACAGCAACAAGACGCCACACTGGACTGCATATCTAGTTAAGAGCACAGGCTGAGCTACATAACACTTTGCCTCAAAACAAAGAATAAAAAGTCTTTCCTCTTTGCCGGGGACGGACACTGAACCCAGACCCCGGACTGCTGTAGGCAACTGCTCTGCCGTAAGTTCTTAAGCTCTTACTTCAGCACCCCCCCCCCCCCCCCCCCCCCCTTTTTTTTTTTTTTTTTTTTTGTAGTTTTTTTGAGACAGAGTTTCTCTGTGTAGCCTTGGCTGCCTGGACTCACTATTCAGGACAGGGTGGCCTCAAACTCACAGAGATCCACCTGCTTCTGCCTCCCAAATGTGGGGATTTCAAGGCGTGCACCATCATGTCCAGTCCAAGGTTTTATTTTTATGTAAGTGAATGTTTTGCCTGCACATACGTATGCGTACCGTGTACCTGATGCTTGGGGAGGCCGCAGACTGCACTGGATCCCTTGGAAGTGGAGTGATTGCTGCGTGGGTTGGGGATGGAGCCCCAATCCAGTGCCGATAACCACCCAGCAAATCCTCCTTTCCCATCATTAGATATGCTAGCATTTGAAGAGCAGCACGGAGTATATGTGCTCCATATGTCAAGGAAGATTAGCTTCTCAACCTCAGCATTTCTATTTTACCTTTTTACTGTGTTTTGAGTCAGTTTCACATCATCCGGTCTTACCCTCCGGAACCTCCTGCCTCCAGGGTCTAGAATGACCATTGTCCAACATCTCGTTTTACATTTTTGAAGGGTTAACAGGTGGGAGGACAGGGCTTTGTAGAGAGACCCTGTCTCGATAAACAAACACAAATGAAAGCTTAAAAATGTTAATGTCTAGTCAGGAGAGTTATTTTACAGGAGGGACAAATGAGATCACCTCCACAGAGAGATCACTCCCTTGATCAGTCTCAGGAGCAGAGCGTCCAGGAATATTGTTTGCTATATCATGTTATTCCTTTCCTTTGTGCTTTGAGACTGGATCTCTCATGTAGCTCAGTCTGGCCTGAACTCCCTAGGCGGCCAATGACAGCCGATTCCTCCCGCCTGCCTCCTGAGCGCTGGGACCCAGGGCTTTGCTTTTGGTAAGCGAGTACTCTACCAACTGAGCTACAACCCCAGCACCCGTGCAGACCTTTTTAGTCCTTGGAGCTTTCCCCAGCCAGGAAAAGCCCGTTTCTGGCCATGAAGTTGGCTTGTGCCTCGTTCTGGGAGTTTCTACCCTGAGCTATTTCTGATACACCAGCTTGCACAAGCTCTAGTATGAGGCACTCAGCCAGAGTTATTTATTCATCTGGTCCGAGACCTCTCTGCGCGCAGACGTTTGGTAAACGGCAGGAAGAGGAAAAAAGCTCAGGCTGGGCAATGGAGTCTAAAACGGAAGGGCAGTAGAGCCCAGCGCAGCACTTCGGGGTCATCTCTGAGCCCTAGAGGGAGACCGCGGTGCTCAGGAGGCCTCAGCAGAAGCATCCACGCGGGGAATCTGGGGCATGTGACCACGTTTAACTGTAGATTGTGACATTTACTTCAGACACCGGTCTCTAAGTCTTTCGGTTAAGGTCAAAGGTGGGGGGGGAAAAATTCAAAACTTTGCAAGTTACTGCTCCAAGCGGAGAAGGCGCAAGAAGCCACAGCCCCGCCCTGCCCCCAGCTTTGCGGGTGTCCACTGGGTGCGTGGGTGGGGACTGCTCACGCCCTTCCCACTCCGGAACCAGCGCACACTTCGGAGCCTGACTCTCTGTCACCGCGGACCGGAAGTTACCACCACCTCTCACCCCTGGAAAAAGTTTCCTGTGAGCCCGCGGGCGAGCGCGACTACGACTCCCAGTATGCTCCGCGGCCGCCGCAGTTAACCCATCAGGGCCCGGAGCTAAGTCCTGTCCCCCACACCCCTGTTCCTCGGACCTGGCAAGGTGAGTTTTGCAGGGCTGGGAGGGCCATTTTCCGTCTCAGGCTTTGGAGTGTAAATAAGAGAAAGGCGCGTGTTGTTTGCGGAAGGATTCCTTATTTTCCAAAAATGGGACAGTTCGCAGTAAAGAGATTCAATCTGACGCCCTTTACAAATGAGGCGCTGTCACTTCGCAAACCCCAGGGCCTAAGCGGGATGACCGGTCTTTCAGAATGCTACCTAAATCTTTCTCCGAGAACAGAACCTCTTCCGAGCTCCCAAACATCATCCCTTTTCTTTGCCAGCGCTTCCAGCAAGATCTGTGACTCAAAGCAGAACTAAGGTTTTCACTGTGCTCCTGATGAGGGTGTGGAGTGTGAACGCCTATGAACCCCGAAGGAGATGCTCGTTGTCTCCAGAGTGCCCTCCTTTCCTCTGTGTGTGTATGCTCCCTCCAAGCTCATTAGGCATCCTAGCCTTTTGTCTGACTTGAAAAACACTGCTTGTTGAAAAACGGTCCTTCTTTGGGATGATGTGTGACAGACGTTAAACCTAGGCCTTGCCCACACCTGAGCCCCTAAGTCAACACTAAGTGTGGGAGGCAGTGTATAAAGCCATGCTCCAGTTGCTCTGTATAGTCCCAGGTTGGGGGTCGGTGGGGGTGCAGGGACTGCAAGTTCTGAGGATACAGGAGCGGTTAGAGGAGAGTAAAGACCTTCTCTCACCTGCTACTGTTTCCAGAACTTATTCTGAAGTTCCCCACTTGAGACTAGGCTTCCTTACTGGCTAGCCCCTACCTTACCCCAAGTCTTTCCATTGCTTGAGCCTTCTATGGCCTAAAGCTAATGCAGGTTTTTGTTTGGTTTAGTTTTTTCCTCCTCCCCTGGCTCCTGTCTCAGTATCACTCACTGGCAAACATCCTATTCTCGCCCTGGAGGTTAACAGCCCCTATTCTGAGAAGCCCCTGCTTCCCCCACTACCCTCAAAGGGAACTATTCTAGTCAGCTTTAGGAGAGGGGTGGCAGGGAAGAAAACTTTGGGGCAGTAGTCCTGAAGCACAGAAGGCCGGGGGAGTGAGGGCCAATAGGCATAACTCTCCCTCACCCTTGCCAAGGCCAACTGGCTCTCTCAGTCCCTGCCCCCGCCCCCGCCCCTTGACATCCCAGACTCCCTGCCTATTTAAACAGAGATGGGTGCCCCCATCGGCACACTGTCCTTTGGCCACCTGACATCATGCCTCCCAAGAAGGATGTTCCTGTGAAGAAACCAGCAGGGCCTTCCATCTCTAAGCCTGCTGCCAAGTCTACAACAGGGACCCCTCCAGCCAAGACCAAGGCTGAGCCAGCCGTCCCCCAGATCCCCTCGAAAACCCAGGAGCCTCCCACTGATCTCTCCAAAGTGGTGGTGAGTCCTGGGAAACTGTGTGTTTGGAAGGGGTGGTTCATGGATGCAATGCAGTCTTGGGAAATTAGGGAACGTTCAGAAAGGGTAGGGAATGAATGAACACTGGAATGAGGTCGGAGTTCCTAGGCCAGGCCAGTTTCAAGGTGAAGGGAGAGAGCTGCTGTCTGCCCCTGGCTCACTGTTCAACTCAAAAGGCCACATCTATGAACCCCCAGAGGGTAGACTGAAGAGGACAAGCTTGTTAGACAATCACAGCTGGGGGCAGGGGTAAATTTAGCCTTTGTTCAGCCCCCAGTTATGTGAGGGATGCAGGACTCAGGGCAATGGAGGGAAGGGAACAGGTGGCATGGGATTAACCCTGCTCCCAAGAAACCCTCCCTGCCATAATTCCTCTTGGGATTCTCCCAAGGCCTAGAGCTGGGAATGGGTAGCTGAGCTCCCAGGCTCATCTCTTTGGGCCCCTCCCCAGAAGTGGCTGCCAGTTGGGTGGTAGGGCTAGAGAGGGATTGAATAAGCGCTGTCATGTCTCCTCACCTGCTCTTTTTTTCTCCTACAGATCGAGTTTAACAAGGACCAGCTGGAGGGTAAGGGGAAGCCCATTTCCTAAGCTCCATTGTCCAATCCCAAACTCTTGGTCAAATTCTCTGTCCTAGCTACAGTCTTGACCTTGAAACCTCCCACACATGGCCTGTTCTCCTCCCTTATTCTGCCCAGCTCTAGCACGTACTTTCCGAACCAAACCTCCCTTTTGTCTGGGGGTGATGGGCGTCCTTGGTCACACTGTCTTTTCCTTACATCTCAGAGTTCAGAGAGGCCTTTGAGCTGTTTGACAAAGTGGGTGACGGCAAGATCCTGTACAGCCAGTGTGGGGACCTGATGAGAGCCCTGGGCCAGAACCCCACCAACGCTGAGGTGCTCAAGGTCCTGGGAAACCCCAAGACTGATGGTGAGAGGGATCTTGGAACACACGGGTTTTCAGTTTTCTTTTTCTTGCTGTTGGAGGTTGAATACAGGGTTCTGCCCTTGGTCACTGGGTTCCATTTCTAGCCAGCAACTTTTTCTTCATCTTTGTGTTTTTGAGACTGGGTTTCAGTATCCCAGGCAAGAATGACCTTAATTTCTGACCCTCCTACCTCCACCTCCTGTGTACTTCTGCCCCCTGGAGTGGTGGGATTACTCCAGTTTATATGGTACTGAGGCTGAATTCAGGGCCTTGGGCAAGGTAGGCAAGTCACTTATTACCAAGCTACTCTTGTTACCTTTTGAGATAGGCTCTAAGTTACTCACATTGGCTTGGAACCTAGGGTTCTATCCCAGCTAGACAGAACCCCTATTTTTCTTTCTCTTTCTTAATTAAGCTGGACTCAAACTCATCTCTCTTCCTCTGCTTCTGAGTGCTGGGACTGAAGGTGTGAGCTACCACATGTGGGCCAGCAGTTTTCTCTTTCCATTTTGAGTGTGTTCCATGCCCAGCCCTTCCTTTCTAAGTTGCTCTGGCGGGCTTGAGCTTGGCCTGGTAGCTGTGGATCGAAGTTTACACCACCAGGCCTGGCAACAGTCTCAGTTTTTCATGATAGAATATTGGTAAGGTGAAAGGAAGCTGAGCTGGATCTCAGGACTTCAAAAACTGTCAAACAAAGGGCAGAAAAACACCCTTAATTCTGAAGGGGGTGAACATCACCGTGACAGGGATGGATGCAACTGGATCTCACACCTCAGTGACCTCTCTCTCACTTCTTTCCTTTCTCCAGAGCTGAAGTCCCGACGTGTGGACTTTGAGACCTTCTTGCCTATGCTACAGGCAGTGGCCAAGAACAGGGACCAAGGCACTTATGAAGACTACCTAGAGGGCCTTCGTGTGTTTGACAAAGAGGGCAATGGCAAAGTCATGGGGGCAGAGCTCAGACATGTTCTTACCACTCTCGGTGAGGAGAAGGGTGTGGACCACAAACAGTTAGGTAGAGCCTCGAATGAGATTCCTGGCCTGAAATTATGGGCAGGAGAGTGAGAAGGCCACCTTTGTGGAGGCAGAATCTGAGGGACTCGATCATCCAGAGGCTAAAGTGTCCAGCAGTGAGCAGAGGACAAGGAATGAGGTGGGAGCCTCATGTCCCTCTTTGCAAGGCACTGTTGATGTGGGCCACACGGAAAGGGAAGGGCAGGGTGGGAGAATGAACCGTCCCAGAGCGGCTCGGGCTCCAGAGGCCGGGAAGGCACGGACTCTAACTGTGTTTGGGTTCAGGAGAGAAGATGACTGAGGAAGAGGTAGACACTGTTCTGGCAGGCCACGAGGACAGCAATGGCTGCATCAACTATGAGGGTGAGGGGGCAGGATCGGGCCAGGGGGTGGGGAGTCTTCTCAGTTACCCGAAGGTCAGTTTCTGAAGTCCTCTTGCCTCCTTTTGCGTAGCCTTCCTCAAGCACATCCTAAGCCTCTAAGCGCCACAGGTGTCGTCCAGAGAGGCGAGGCTCCTTGATCAACCAGGGAGAAGCAAGCGCAGGCAGTCCGTCCGCCCGCGAGGCGCCAGGGCTGGACGGCTTTCCTTTCCGCACACTGACCACGCGGGCTTGGAAACCTAAGTGGCCCCACCTCCCGCGGGGATAGGAGCGCGTTCCTGCCACCAGGCGGCACTTAAGGTTTTGAAATAAAAATATGGTTCCTGGTTTGGTCTCCAACTGTTTTCTTTTGAGGAAGGGGAGGACGGGAGCGGGTAGGCCTCTCTTCTGCCAAAGCCCGAATTCCCTGCTCTGTACGCAGCTCGGATTGGAGGCTTCCAAGAGTCGCACCTCAGCGCCGGGTTGCGTTTCTGAGCCGAGGTCTGGACACCCCCGCCCAGTACTAATGTAGTGACGTCGTCCACACTAGCCCAGGCTAGCCTTCCTATTGGATGAGATTGCAGAGGGTGACGTCACGGACCGTGGGCTGTCCTAAGGCTAGGGTTGGGCCGGCGTCGGAGCCATTACTGCCGGAAAGGGTCTCGCAGAGCTGAGCAGCCAAGATGGTGGGCCCCGGGAGTCGGGCGGCTACAAGGGGACCACGGGTCGGGGGAGAGAGGGCAGTGGACGCGGGCAAGCCCAGGTTTTGGAAAGGCGGACGTGGGGTTAGACGGTCTAGGGCTCAGCCTGTGGGAGCGAGTCCTCGCCTTGAGACGGGAGTGTGTGAAGCCGGGATGGACGCTGGCGGGGCTGGGCTTCCGTACTGACCAATCCCTTCTTCTCCGAGCAGTGTGACTTCACCGAGGACCAGACCGCAGGTAGGCCGACTAGCAGCCGGGGTCAGCCCCACCGAGAGACCCTCTCCTCTAGCATCTAGCCTCTGATCCCAACCTGTCACCTCTTCAGCACTCCCAGGAGAGTGCCCCGTGGATTTCCTTCTCCCCCGCTCTAAATCCTCCATTTTCTTTTCTCATTCTTCCTTCCCCTTCCACTATAGATCTGAGCCCCAAGCACTGGGTGAGTTCTAGGTGGTGTGGATGTGCGAAACAATTTGATTAATGGCTGCTGTGTGTCGGGTCTGTTATGTCTGTGTTCTGCTTCTAATCAGCAACTTTTGCTCTCCTGTGATTACTGCCCTTTCCTTAAGCTTGGATTGTGAGTAATGTAAAGTGCAGTGACTTGATATTTTGTGAAGAAGGAAACTGGAGTTTTCCAAGGATGTGACTTAGCTTCAGCCTCTGGAAGATCTGTGCAGGGGAAGGCGGGAAGTGGGAGGGTAGAATGACCCTAGACTCCCAGGCCGCAAGACTCCTCCTTCCTTATAAGGACAGGACCTAGCCCGGGCCGTGGCAAATTCCTGAATAGTAGTGTAGTAGCGGCGGAGAGCCTAGCCTGCAGCTCAGGTGTGTAGACAGATGGATACCACCGTGAGCTAAGGGGAAGAAGGCTGTGTCTTTGTATGGGACATTCGAGCGGCTAGAAATAGATCCCTATCACTAGTCTTCGGTGATAGAGATACAGGAGAGATCTGCTTTCTGCAGCACGACTGAAGTTGGGTTGGCAGCAGAATTCTGTGTTAGTCCCCAGTGCCCTTGTTCATCTGATTCCTCAGAATTCAAGGAGGCTTTCCAGCTGTTTGACCGAACAGGTGATGGCAAAATCCTGTACAGCCAATGTGGGGACGTGATGAGGGCCCTGGGCCAGAACCCCACCAACGCTGAGGTGCTTAAGGTCCTGGGGAACCCCAAGAGCGACGGTGAGCATTTCAAGAACTTAGTATTCCTATGGGTTTGTGGTTGTCCAGCTAAAATCATCCCTTTATCTTCACAGGCCCCAAACTTAAGCAAGTTCTGTCTCACATAGCCAGCCCTACACATTCCCCCTTCAGTTCACTTGTGCCCTGAGCGTTCATGGTTTCTCTTGTCTTGACACTTCCAACTCCGCCCAGCAGAGATGAACGTGAAGGTGCTGGACTTTGAGCACTTCCTGCCCATGCTGCAGACTGTGGCCAAGAACAAGGACCAGGGAACTTACGAGGACTATGTCGAAGGCCTCCGTGTGTTTGACAAGGAAGGGAATGGTACCGTCATGGGTGCTGAAATCCGTCATGTCCTTGTCACACTGGGTAAGGGTCTGTGACCTTGCTCTGGAGCTGAGCTGCCACCTTGATACACTTCACCTGTCACACAGCTCTAAAGTGTTCTTTGCTCCGCAGGTGAGAAGATGACAGAGGAGGAAGTAGAGATGCTAGTGGCAGGGCATGAGGACAGCAATGGTTGTATTAATTATGAAGGTAAGGGCTGAACTGTGAATTGGGGCCTTTGAGGAAATGGTCATTTAGGGTGTGGTGTGTTAAGGACAGCAACTGTGGCATTTTAGTTCTAGATCTGGTTCCAGAAGGGAGCCAGGAGTCTAGGAGCAAGGCTCTGTCCATCGTGGGAGCAGCTGCTGGGGATATGACAGCAGAGGAGGGGGTAGCGCAGTATGGAGGGTGGGTTAGGAGCGGGAGGAAGTGTCCCCCTGCCTGATCCCTTCCCATGTCTGTGTTGTCTTCACCATCAATGTCTCTTCCTTCTTGCAGCATTTGTCAGGCATATCCTGTCGGGGTGACGGGCCCATGGGGCGGGTACGGCTCCTCCCAGCCTCTCTTCTAGTTATCTCCCTGGTGTTTCTTTTTCTTCCCAACCTGTGCTCTCTAGCCCGTGCCCATAACCCACTACCATCTGACTTCCCCCTGGCATGACTCTGCATGGAGCTGGCTTGGGAGTGGAGGGGGTTCCTCAATGAGGAAAACAGTTTGGGGGTGGGGTACCTCCTTACTTCTCTTCTAGAATGCTCTTTGAGGTTTAACTTACACGATCTTGGTGCTGGTGTCTGGGAACTCTCACCAGCTTGTAGAGAAGGCTTGCTTTATGATGGCTCTTTGGCCCTGGAGCAGGGAGAGTTGGCAAAGGAGTTGGGGGTGGGCTGCCTGCCCCATTCTGCTGCTATAGCAGAACAGTCCCTTCTCCATCCCTCTGCTGGAACAGCTTGGAGGTACCCTAACCCAAAACTGTCCTCTCCTCCCGCCAGTGGCTGACAGTAGCTATAGGTATAGTTGAGAATTTTTCTGCCTTTGCTATGTTCTTGCTACTCAAGAGTGGGTTGGGGGCTAACAGCTGATGGGAGGGGAACCAGGGACAGAGAGAACTGGTCACTCAAGGTGGCCCTTTTGCGAACTGACCCCAGGGTCAGTTGCTATGGGCATGTTCGCTTGCACCACCTTCATGGTCTTGTGGTCTCCTGGCCCATGGTGTACCCCTCCCCAGCCCTCTCCTTGGCTTACTCCACCTCTCCTCTCCACAGAGCTTGTCCGGATGGTGCTGAATGGCTGAGGACATTCCTGTATCCTGAGCCTGTGCCTTGTCCAGTGTGAGATTTCTGGATAGCACCAGAGGCTCCCTTATCACAGCACCTTGCCCATCTGGTCTCTTTTAGATGATGTTTGCCTTCACCAAATAAAATTTGCTCTTTGCCCTATTTTGGTTCCTTTTTTTCCCTGAGCAGGATACGGAAGAAAAGGTGAGATGGTAATGACACCTGTCCTGACACAAAGCTCAAAGCGGAGGGCAGGTTTAGGGAAAAGTAGATTAGGGCCTGTAGTGACCATAGCCTTATGAATGAAAGGCTCCCCTTTCTCCAATGAAGTTAGTTATAAATCCCTATAAAATCAAAGGTAGCTATAAGTTTTTTTTGTTTGTTTGTTTGTTTTTTTTTTCCCTTGTGTGGGTACCCTTTTGTTCTACTCCGTGTCAGGTTAAATTTCTTGGCCCTATGCCATCTCTGAACTAGGCTCCCACCTTCTCAAATACTCAACACCTTTTATGGAAAAATCTATGAATGTTTACTTGAGCTGAACGCCAGGACATGTTAGTACTGCCAGAGCCTGTCTTGTCACTTGTGCGAGGTTGGGGGCTAACAGTAACAGAACTAGGCAAGGGCCTGCCTTCTCCCTAATAAGGGAGGGAATGCAGCCACTGTGGAAGGACTCAGATCCACATTCTAGTGGTGCACTTCTAATTGCTATTTTCAGATTAGAGGAGCTGTTCCTGCAGTCTGATTGCTGGATTGCCTCTAGTCTCCTGTGGGCCTGTGGCTTTCCAAGTGCCCCTGCAGTCCTGCTGAATGCCCAGTCTGCCCCATCCTAGCAGCCACAGGTAAGAACACAGGCATCTACAAGATAGAACTGAAAGCAAATTAATTTATAAAAAAGAAAGAAAGAAAAGAACAAAGAAGAAAAAGAAAACTTTACAGAAAACTTCGAACAGAGGAAAGGTGCCGAGATGTAGAGCAGGAAACACTGGGACAGGAAGAGCAGAGCGCCTGGTGGGAGGGACCAAGCAAGCACTGGCGCAGAGATGGCTGCTTCTGCCTCCACAAGGAGGTGAAGAGGAGGGACTGCAGTGGAGAGGCCCTGAAGTCCAGGGAGCAGAGCCATGCTGCGCTGCTCCCAAACCTTTGTCCTCACTGGGGAACTCCTAGCTAGCAGTGAGCTCTGTCAGGCTTGGGAGAGGGCAGGAGTTAGCAGACTGTCCCACTGTCAAAAGTAGGCACTTAAGTGCTTTTCAAAACTTCTGGGTTTGCCAACTCCCCACCCTCTTAGAGCTCCCCTTCTCCATGCCTTTTAGGCACTTGGAGATACAACCAGGGAAAGAACAGCCCCCACTGCCGCCCTTCCTCAATTACCTACCACAGACTCCCCGCATAATACATTTTTCCACCAAATACACTTATGCTGACATCAACTAAGCAGGTGACTTTTAACAAACAAAAGCTGACATTCAGGAAAAGGTCATTGGCTGAGCTGGGGCGGCCTAAAACAGCAGCAATGACGAAGCAGCAAGGAGGGATTAGTGTGAATGAATTGGAATGGGTGAGGGGAGCTTCCTCAGCACTGCAGAGGGGCTCAGGGAGACAGGCTTGGTACCTAATTCCATCCCAGAGCTTGCCCCAAAACTTTAATTCCTCTTAAAACCTACACTTTCCCCTCAAAAAAAAAAAAAAAAAAAAAAAAAAGGTTATTTTTTTGTGGGCTCCAATTTTGTTTTTTTTTTTAAACCTCCCTTTTAAAGGGCTGCATTTTTCATTTTCATGTTATCTTCTTCAAAGTGCAGTGACTGAAGGGGTCACCCTCAGAAGAGGCGAACCTGTACGGACAGCTTTCCCTGGCCCTTCCTTTGAGGGCAGTTTCCCTTCTCATCTCTCCGTCAGAAGTCCGTGGAAAGACTGGATATAAAACTGCACACCTCTGCTGGGCATGGTGGGGGCCGTGAAGGGGCAGGAGGAGCTTTCCTTACGCAGTGATGAACTCCAGGCTGAGGGAGGGTCCCAGTAGTGGGGGAGGGCTGTTCCTGGAACTGATCTCCGGGGAGTGAGGGGAGAGATGGTTGGCTGGTTCCTCACTGTGGAGGTGGCACAGGGGTGACTGTGCCTGGGCTTGGAGCTGTGGGGTCTGGAGGCAGGGGCGTGCCTGGGTCTGTGGAGAAAAGGAAGATGAATAAGCTGCAGCAAGCGGAAGGATGGCTCCAGTGCCAGGTTCCACACAAACAGGACTGGCATGGCATGCAGTGGGCGCATGGATGAATGAGGTGCCCACCATGCAGAATGTCCTTCCCGATACCCTACTCCACCTGACACTGCAAACATCTTCTTACACCCCAAACCATCCTCCTGTCCCCATGGGACATCTGAGTGTGGTGAGACAAGCAAAGGAACGCTGTCGTCATGCAAATGGGCAGCTAGTTCCCAGGGTTACGACTGAGGTCCTGTGCCAGTGGACTCCTCCAAGACCCACTGTAAAGGCTCCAATGTCATCCCAGAGGTGGCAGCTGCCAAGCTGGGAGATGGAGGGTGGCCAGGGAGGCCTTTCTGCTACTCTTTTACCAAAGTGCTGAAAACTGTTGTGCCAGTTCCAGTATCTCACCCTTACCCTACTTGCCCTCCCTCCCATTATATGGAACCCTCTCCCTCACCCTCTCCCCCTCCTGACCCCTTCTCACCTGGCAGTGGGCTGGCACTGGGCAGGAGGTTGCCCTGAACGGCTGCCACAATGGCAGGGCTCTGGGCTGCGGCGGATCCGAGCCCCGGCCCGAGAGGCAAGGAAGATGGCATGGTGGTGGTCGCCGGCAGGTTAGGATGTAGAGGGTTCGCCATGGACACAGGCAGGTTAGGTGGGGGGATAGCGCCCGGGGCAAACGGGAGATGGTGGTGATGCCCATGCAGGTTAGGAGGAGGGGGAAGGTTAACACTAATGGAGTCAGCTAGACTACCAAATGGGATGATGGATGGAGCAGCAGGAGGAGGAGGAGGCGGCATGCCAAAAGGCAAACCCAAAGGAGCATTACCCGCCACGCCTGGGTGCCCGCTGCCTGGCACTGCCCCTGGCATCATTGAGGGAGGAGTTTGTTGGTTGGGGAACGGTGAGGGGCCTAAAAATAAAGAACAAAAGGTGAAAAGAGTAAAATCTTACTGACACTAGAATAAGTGGTAAATTCTTGAATAAAATTCCAGGTATCTGTGTTTGGGAAAAATCTCTGCTAGTGGGGGCATAACACAAGGAAGCCCACATGCAGAAACTGTAGCCAACGTCTATATCCAAGCCCACCAGGTGTTCCCGTCAAAGGAACCAGAATGTTTGCCTGGATCTCTACAGTGAACAAACATTCTGAACCCACACTCACCATGGGGTCCAGGGGGGGGGGTACCCCTGGTGGAACTGCCCCAGGCTGGGGAGCTCCAGCTGGTTGTGGCTGCTGTGGCCCTGCAGTTGTCCCTGCCTGTTCAGAAGGGCCCAAACTTCCGGGAGGGCCCCCACTGCCAGCAGAAGCAGAGGCCACAGCGGCTGGAGGCACAGCCAGCCCATGGACGGCAGGTGGCCCAGCAGCCCCGGTGGGAGGTACGGGCTGGGAGCCTGGGGGCAGGGTTGGCGGCGGCGGCTGCGGCGGCTGCTGCTGGTGCATCTGCTGGAAGTGCTGCTGCCGGGCTCTCATCTCTGCGTACTTCAGCTGCTCCATGTGGAAGGCTTGCCGGTCGGCCAGGAGCTGCTGCCTCTGATATTCTAGCTGCCAGTGCCAATGGAATGGTGTTACCAAGTGCCAGAAGCCCTTTTGGCACATGCCTTGCTGCCCACTCTTTCTCTCAGCCCTGTGCTTCTGTTGTCCTCCACACCCCAGTCCTTATAGATCCTAAGATATCCTTTCTCCTGGCTGTCCACATGCTTCGCACTGTGCACCTCGTGGTTCTGGCTCATTTCAGTTCCAAAGCTCTGAACTTGTTATCACTCTGATTTGAAAATGCTTCCAGTTCCTGTCAACTCAAGTTCTTTTCTTCCTTCAAAATCAGCTAGAAACTTAATATTCTTAAGGAGCCATTTCAGATGGAGTCACTGGCCTCTGAATCTTGATTTTATTCTGAAAAGTAAATTCAGCACTTACTTTTATTTTTATTTGTTTGCTTGTTTATTGGTTTTTACGAGACTGGGTTTCTCTATGTGGACCTGGTTGTCCTGGAACCCTGGTTGTCCTGGAACTCACTCTGTAGACCAGGCTGGCCTCATACTCACAGAGATCCATCTGCCTCTGCCTCCCAAGTGCTAGGATTAAATTTCTTATTTTATTTGAGTTTTTATTTGTTTGTTTTTTAATGAGTACTCTGTCTGCATATACACCTGCATGCCAGAAGAGGGCATCAGATCTCTTCATAGATGGTTGTGAGCCACCATGTGCTTGCTAGGAATTGAACTCAGGACCTCTGGAAGAGAGCCAGTGCTCTTAAGAGCTGAGCCATCTCATTAGCCTTAAATTTCTTATTTTAAAAAGTTTTTAATGATGTGTCTATATGTGTGGGTATATGTGCATGTGAGTGTGGGTGCCTGTGAAAAGACCCTAGGGACTGATGAGGGTCCTCTGGAAAAGCAGTCTATTCTCAACTGGTAAGCACTTCATCCCCTAGAAAGTCTCTGAATTTGAATTTTGCAGGTAGTTAGCATTGTTAACTGTTTCTGATATCTCCGTGTTGTATATCTGACATCTCTCAGAGCAGAGTCTCTGTCTGCTATTTCTCTTTAAGCCCTTTCAAAGAAACTGAATAGACACTGTCTGTCTCGTCTACTTCCCAATTTTACCTCCCTAGTCTTTATTAGCTCTTATATCCATTCAGTCACTCAGATTTGAGAATCCAGTAAGAGGCAAGTGGCAGTCAAAAAGCCAGACCAGCAGCTCACCTGTGGATCTCGGCCTCTAGGCACCCCTGTCTCCTCCCCTCTGCTGTGACGTCCAGTCAGCCTCAGGACGTCTAAGCCTGGTCTTCCAGCAGAGTTCCAGGCTCCCAGTAACTGCTGACTGCATGTTACTCACTGCTTCTCGCTCCCGGTCCATTATCGTCTCCAGCTCCTCAAAATGGCGGAGTTTTATCTCTAGTTTCTTCATTTGGGTCTCCACTAGCAGGGCCACCAAAGACTTGATCTTCCTCTCCTCAACAGC